AACGGTTATAACACGCGTTTCAAATTTCAGATTAAACCGAACTCGGGGGCTCTGGAAAGCTAAGACTATGGGCTTTCCAATGATACCTAGATCGTCTTTGGGTCCTTACAGAACGATGGGAAAACAGCCCGCAAGTTCGTTGTTCGGAACTAAAAACAGGAAATTCCAGTCTCATAAAAAATGAACGACACGTTGACATCTAAAGAACACAGAGAACGGAGATTACTTCGGAAATGGGATCGAAAACCTGTTCTGAAAACTAGACAGAGAGAGCTTTCCACAGATAGGCGGATCGTCTCCTAAGTCCTTCTGGTTCGACGAGAATCCTCCCTCGAAATGGACTGATCGCAGACCCAAAATTGCAGAAACATCTCTTAGTAAAACGACGATAACTCTCGGAATACTAATCCAAATGACAAACCGATTTCGCCCAAAACTTACCCTAGAAGTTTTACTCCAATCCGATCTGATCTTTCTAGCCGTTCGTCTCCCCTTCTAAAATCGGACTTAACTGTTTTTCTCTCAAGAAAGTCACTTCTCTCACAATTCTCTCTAACTCTTCTGATTTTCGGCCAAAATAGTCAAAAAACGCGATCCCCACGCTTATATAATAGAACCCTAGGGGTCCCTAAACCAATCGCCAAATCGAGCGATCAAAAACCGAACCAGACGGTTCAATTTCAACTTGCGTCGATCGACGCACAACACTTGTGTCGATCGACGCAACACCCAGAACCCGACTCCTCGCGAGTCCAAACACGTGTATCGATCGACACACACTGTGTCCATCGACGCACCACCAAAAATACACATTTTGGTTTACGGGCGTAACAATTTTCCATAGACACGGTCACTTTGACCCTTAGACTTGATCACCGTTACCCATAGACTACTTGCACTCGTTCAGTCTACCCACGGACTCCCTCGCCAATCTCTCGCCCTTTTCTATTCTGTCACATCTCGTCTCGATCATCTGTCACGAAGACACAATCACCATCACGCAGACACGATCGTCGTCATGCCCTGACATGATCCAAGTTATCCACGCTCGAGTATCCACCGATTCTCTCGAGCCTTTTCTCTTTTCTCTGGGAGAAAATCTTTCCCTTTCTTTCTAAGTCTTTCTCCCTGATTCTTCCGCGTGATCCCCCTGAAACTGGCTTAGTTTCGCACATAAAAGCCTAGTAACCGCTGCAGAACTGCCCAGATAACCGTTCCCACTTTGATTTGGCGTCCAAGCCCAAAAATAACCATTCCCGCACTTTTCATTGTCGCGACACGAGCCAGTAATCGTCCTGTCCGAAACAGACCGCGATAACCTTCCTATCTGAATCCGACCACGGTAACCGTCGTGTTTGAAATCAAACCACGACTCCGAAAAATCCACCCAGCTTGGATTTAACTGCCCAACTCAGTCTAACCTTGACTTTTCATTTCTCGTTGACCCAACTGCCCCTCTTGGCTCGGATCCAGCTCGATCACTTTGAGCGTTTCATTCTGCGGTGGTCAGTCCA